TCATTTTTTCTTGAGTATGACAGTTGTAATCTTTGAAGGTGAAAGTCACATTTGTTTCCACAATTACACTGTGAGAAACAGTGGAAAAACATTTTCAATTAGACAGTCTTTCATGTGTCTTAGCACTCTGCATAGCAGGCTGGATATGACTAAGCAGAGGTTAATTCCAAGGTAAAAAGAGTAAAACAATGTTTTGGCTGGAGGATTCTTCAGCTGAACTGTTATTTTATTCTTTTTTTCAGAGTGCAATTAGCCTTTAGCATTTGTTGAGCTTTTTTCCCCAAAAAAACTAAGCTGCAAATTGTGTGCTTTGGGTTTACCAATGAAATTGCTGCAGTAGTGTAAAATCTCAGCAACATTACAGTAGCATATTATTTTCAGCAATATTTCTACAAAAGTTACAGTTTAACTCATTGCAAATTCATATTAACAAAGTTAACGCCCTCTGTCCAAGGTGAGGAATCAAATGGCTCATTAAATTAATTAATGAAAATATTCTCCATAGGTATTTTGCAATATGTGCAATACACATGCTCAGAAAGTGCATTTTGGCATTTTAATCCTCAGTTGTCTGCATTGTGATAAGCCAAGCAGGTTTAACATTCAATAAAGCAGTGCAGCATTTTGCCCGAATCTATGAAATGATTGGATCTTTAATGTGATAAAAAACAATCTCTATTAAAACTGTGTTGGGATGTTGTTTTCCCAGCTCTGGTTCCAAATATAGTATAACTGACAACTGTTAAAACAACAGCAAAAAATCTAAAGTGATAAAAGTGTCATGGTGCTTTTAAGTAGCTTCTTAGATAACTATGTAATGTGTTGATTAGATTGTGCTAGACTTTATATTGTAAAATTCTTTTGATCATGAAAGCTTTCAGCTTTAAACAATGTTGAAGTACTGTGGTGCATTATGCAAGCATCATAAAGCACGCAGAGGCAGAAAAGTGACAGCTTATAGTTGCACACAGACTGAAAAGTTTGTATTACTTAACACATATTGGATTTCTTTAATTTATTACTAGCTTCGGTGCAACCACTTTACTAAATTTATTAGGGCATTTAGTGCTGTTCTGATAATACCGTCCCTGGTCTCGAATTTCTAAACAGAAGTAGATTTTGGCTGGAGACAACATAGCCAAGTTTTAAGCACTAACAAAGTAAAGGATGACAGTAAAAATGGGTTCATCTTTTTCTCCACAACTTTGAGCAAGCTGGTTTGATAGTCAGTATGGGATTTCAAAATTTCACCTGTGTAATAACTAGATCTTTATGCATGATAAATATATATATATATCATAAGGAAACTGTAGGGTTACTCATAATATGGTTTCCTTTGCTGTTTAGATTAAAACTATACAGTTTAAAACCAAACATCAAAAGTTTATTTTCAGGAAATCGGACATTGAAGAAATTCTGAGAAGTAAGATTTGGAATCTATGTAGAGTGAATAGCAACAGTTTGAACAGATTCTGTCTGAAGCACATAACAAATATACTTTATGCCAAATGTGAGTGAGTAAAATGACAAAGCTTTCACAACGATTTTCAAAGTGAACCTTTTAGTGTGCTTTAGGTTCATAGCCTTGGATAGGATTAGGGCAATGTTAGGAGTAGGGTTAGAAATAGGGTTTGGGTTATTGCGAAAATCGATGTACCTGTTACATCTTTTGAAAGAAAGGACTTGGAATGTGATGATCCTGTGTGTTCTTAATTCAAAAGAAGCACTTTGCAATGTGCCAGTTTGGTGTAAGTATTTCTTCCGTCTCCTGTTTTTTTTTCATCACCAGCAGCATATTGAAAATCCTAGTCTTTTTATTATAATTTTGGTCTTTATAGTGTTAAAACCTTTACGTCTGGTGTGATAACTGCACAATGTAAATGTCAGGAAGATTTAAAATACCAGTGCAAAATTAAATACCGGTACTATATATGTGCTTTACTTATTTTTACCCTCCCCCAAAGAGAGTAAATTAGAGCAAAGCTCTAATCCATATTTAAATACTATTGAACACACAGAAAATAAACTGAATGTTAATGTACTTGTTGGTTTCTAATCCTTTTTTAATTGCCTGTGTAATGTTGAAGGCAGTTTTATCTCAAATGAAAGTAGTGATGACTATAAATTCAGATATCTTAATCTGTATCTCTTCCAGGAGCATGGATTTCAGAATAATTATCAAACACAATTGATTAAAAATTGATTTCACAAATTGTGCAGTGGTTAGGAATTAAGGCTTAGAAAATTGTTCCCATGGATCATTAAACTTCAATCAGTAACTGATTTCTATCTTTTGTTTCTGTGTTGGTAAGATAATGATCCTGCAAGCTGTATTGATCTTCTCTGTTTAAGACTGAAAGGTGATAAGTTTTTTTGTTTAATTGACTTAAAATTAGATATTTACTTAGATATACTATTTATGTATACTGTCAGAATAAAATATAGAAGAAAATGTTCAAACATGAGCTGAAGCGTTTTGCTCATCTTTTTGTATCATTTTGCATGCAAGAAGAGCTGTGAAGCTGAACATCACATGCATTTTCTTTTGCCATGGGAATGACTGCTCTTTTTAAATGTATTCATCCTCATCTCTTCACACTTACATTTTGACATTACATAAGTGTATCAAGATGTATCAAGTGTATCAAGAACAGCTTATTGTTGCGTTTTCTGAATTTGTTCATGCAGGATAGTAGTTGCTGTTTTCATAGAAATGATTCTGGCAAAGTAGGGAGAATAATTCTAGGGTGGCCTGGGCACATCATGTCATATTAATCACTCGTGTTGCAGTAGACTTATATTGTAGTCTGTTTGTTTTCATAATTAGTGTGTTCAGTGAAGGTACAATAGCTGATATGTGTGATAATGCTCTGCTCTGTTGTAGAATATAAAAAAGGTGAAAGTCTGTGTAAATAGGAGACTGATCAATGGTTAAGTAAAATCCCCTGTTGAAGAAATATAAAGACTAATGATAACAAAGTGTTGCCAGAATTACAGTGTAACACACTTAATCTGAGGGAAGAACACAGATCACCTACAGCATGTTCTAGACTGCTTGGAAACAGCACAGGTATTCCAATTCTATCCTCAACTGTTAATTAGAATTCATTAAATGTCAGTCTGAGCCTTTAAATTCTCATTTTGCAAAAAGCTGTCTGGAATGAGGCTCCCTGAATGCAGTCGGACAGCTCAGATTGCTTCCGTAAAAGATGCATGAGAGAAATAATTTTATGCAGCATCTCTTGAATCACCCTAATTCATAAGATGGATCTGTCAGTAATTATTTAGAAGCAATTGTTCAGCTACCAGTCTAGTCAAATTAAAGTACTTGCCAAAGTTATCCACTGTATGTTATTTAAAGCTTCAGATATTTAATTTGATACAAGTGTGTTAATTGATCCAAACACCTGTAGAGCATTAATCAGTGCCTGGTTTTATTATCTGAGAAGTCAGTTAGTTTAGGATTGCTGTTTCTTTCAAGCATTATCCCATTGGGAAAACAATATGTATCAATCAAAATTTGGTAATTTAACTGAAAGTCATGCTTTCCTATGGGCTTAAATCTAACCTTTCAGTTAAAAGGTTAATTGAATTTGTAGTATTTTACATGCAAAGCATCCTGTGTCAACACACAAAATCAACACATACACATTTCTTGTATCACAAATGTGTCACCATATTTGATTATAATGTTATCTGTATTTAATCCTGAAGCTCAGCTCTGAGTGATACTTGAAGGAAGTCTCAGCTAACAAAGGATTGAAAGACAGATGATTGATTTCTTGTGGATCACGTTAATAGATTATCTCTGGAGAGGAGTACTCCCTCAATCGATTTGACTACTTGATTTGAAATGCCAAATTGATATTTAGTGTGAGCACATATACACTGTTTATTATCATTGCAGATATTCTCTTTGCCTGAGACATGACCGTGACTCTTCCTGATCCCCAGTGAGCTTATTCTAATTGTTGCTTCATACCTACTCTTAGGTATGATGCACTAGGCCTCATAATCACATCCTGAGGTATATCCAACTGGAAACCATTCTTAATGTAGCTGTTATAACTACAGTGAAAACTTGATCACCTAGTTCCAGTGGTTCAGGGACAGAATATCAAAGGATAACCTTTAACCTGCAGTAAGTAACTTTCACTTTATCCCACAACTCCTACCAAACACGAGCAGTGTTTTGAAACCAGATTACTGTATAACAGACAAACGACAGAGTTAGCTTCCCTTCCTCTCTAAGGGTAATTTAAAATGTTGTAGGACATATGAAACTAACAACATTTCATACAGATTTTGAAGTCAGTCTGCACAACAAAAACAGTCTCATCAGATAACTGGCCCATTCTGCTGTTCATAAAGAGGGGCTTTTTCTACAAAACTAAGTTATCAAGTGTCGTTGATGCATTGCTGTACTTACTCAGTCTAAGGGCTCTTTTCGTGTTAGGATACTGCCTGCTCCCCGTTCTCTCTCAGAGACACAATTCCTCTTGTTTCCGCATGCCCATTGATCAGCCTTTTACTTGTGTTTTTTAGAAATATTAGTTTTATAAATGAATCAAACACTGTACCTCATACACGGGTTTTAATTATTTTTTAAATGAAAACATATTTAGCTGTCGGGTGATTCGAAGTTTTTCAGAGAGTCCCATCTTAAAGAAATCTGTCCTGTATTGATGATAAAGCTTCAGAAAAACAGCATATATCTGATGCAGGCACACCATTTCTTACGCTCTTATCAGATGCCTTTGCAGAAAACATCTGGCTCTTCCTATACGTTTAAGTTTGTGGGTTAACACGTTTGTAGTTTTGCATTGCAAGGGTTTTATGATTTTTTTTGCTGTCCTAACTGATAACGAAATCCCTCAGTGTATGGGGAAACGTCAGAGTTGCAGGGATGGGAGATGTTGGGCACTGCGCTGCCCTGAGGGAAGATGGCTGTTTTCCTTTGTCTGGTTCTTTCCCTGAAGCTGCTCCTTTCCTGTGTCCAGGAGCGAGACGGGGTAAGAGCTATCCTAGAGTCCTATGACAATGAGCTGACGGCCAGCGAGTACTCCCCCCAGCTGAGCCAACGTGTGAAGGAGGCCGAAGAGATGCTCCAGAAAGTCCAAACTCACAACTCGGAGATGGAGGTAATGTTGGAATGCTGACCGGTTTTATTTCAAGAACCTAAATTATTTCATTGCTAGTCTGCGTGTCTTTACTGGTATTCACATCACATCTTAAGTATATCAACTTACAGAACAACTTGATGCATGGAGGACAGTTATTTTGGACTTTTTAAATAAAAGTTCTGATGTTGAGGTGCCAGGGTTAAAGTAAGTGCCAAATGCATTAAAAACAGACAGAACCTGTAACAATAAATGTTGTAATGGGACCAGCTAAATATTTTGTTGGTTTGAGAAAACAACTCCGAAAAGCAGACATTTGTTGAGTAGCCTGACCTAAAAGGTAGTCCATAAATGTGCTCTCTGTAGGAATGAGGTTGCTTTCGCATGACTGGGCATGGTGTCTGTGGTAATAAAGAAAATTTTTTTTGGTCTCCCACTGTCACAATCAGAAGACCTGTCCTCTTTCAAGGAGAGGACTTAATGACCTGATTTTGTTCTTGCAGAGTTGTGGGTATGATTAATAAGAGCTACTAAGCCATCAAATAAATAGCCTTTTCTTTTAATATATTGTTTTAAGAGCACTGTAAACATGCAGTAGGTCATAGTGACAGCATTTGTCACCTTAATCCCACCTGATTACCTGTCTTTGAAAGTTTATTTTATTCTACAAAAGTTCATTTGATGCACTGTGTGTGTACATGTACAGTATATGTTCGTGTTGATGGTTAACCAGCATTCTGTGCAAGTAGATAAAATTTACCTCCAAGGCAAGGTTGTTTAATCCAGGAGATGAGCGATTTACTTGGAAAAAAAAAACTTGCATTAAATTCAGAGATTTTAATTTTAATGTGAACTTTAATAACTATAAATCATATGAGACAGATTAGAAGAACATGTCAATTAAACCTGCATTTAGGAGCGGTTATAATGGATTTAGAAGAGGTAAATGATAATGTACTAGTTTGTTTTAAGCAAGGAAAGCATACAGAAAATCACTTACAGAGATCAGACATTGTGATGACAGTCACTGAGACAATCATGGGATATTACCAACAACGAACACGGCCCACCTCGTTGTCACATGGATCTTTGTCGGCATTCAGGGTACGTGGATAAAGGAGAGGCGCGATTAGCATCTAGCACATCAAAACCACGATGTTACCAGTCGTGGTAACATCGGCGTCGTGCCCATCACACGACCACACATCCTAGAGGACGCCCCTCCTGGCAGGAGAACGCTGCTGCAACAAGGAGTGAAGACAGTCGCTCCACATCGTTAAGTTGCAATGAATGCTGGCCTTGCCTTCTCACTGTGGCATCGACTCTGCACTGTGGCATCGACAACGTGCCGTTTTTGCTTAATCTGTCTGTTCCCGCTCGGATGCGATTTCCTCGCTTCTTCCACCCACAGTCCAAAGACACACTAGTACTGTATGTCAATGTGCTTCTGAGAAAACTGACCCAGGTGAGAGTGCGTCTGTGTAACGGACTGCCATCCCAGTCAGGGTATATCCTGCTTTGTGCCCGTTCGGCTCCCCCGTGACCTTGTATTGGATAAAGCAATTAGAAGATGGTTGATTCACAGTTGTTCACCTTTTTTGCCTCACAGTTTGAATGAATGCTTGGATTTCCTGTTGCCTGAGAAGACGCTTTCACTCACTCACGATTGCCCTCTGCAGATGGTGTCTTACCCTCCTCCTGCTGAATCCACCTTAGACACTGTAGCTCACGAATCCTCAGCACTTTGAGCTGTCTTGGTCACTGAAGCTCCTGCCGTACCTGTCCCAGAAATCTCTAAATAAATGTAGACATTGTTTTAATCAGATGTCAGGGTGCATTCTTTGTGTTGATAACTTAAAATACAGAAATGAAAGTGGACATTAAAAGACCTCGATCAAGCTGTGTTTTCTGATGGCACGGAACATGGAGAGTCGGGTGTTTCCGCATGATTGATTAGTTGTAAGTTAACCTGTTGAGAATACGCTAAGTACTACATTGCTTCGAATGATTTTGCTGGAATATTGTGTTTTTGATGTTCACAGCAAATTATCATTCATGCGTACATTTTCCAGTGAACATTCATTATTTGGATATGGTACACTATGCTAACTGAATTTAAAAAACAGTGAATCTGTCTTTCAGTATGACTGGCTAGCTTTGCAGTCCTGCATCCCTCTTATTTTAAAGATAAGTCTCCTGAAAGCCAACTTTGAATGAAAGTTTGATTTCTTAATCCAAAGTAAAGCTTAAAAGTTAACTGTCTTTATGTGATGCTAAATTTGATACAAAGCTTTTTTTTACATTTGTTGTTTCTGAGTTTTTTTCACCATAGACCATTTTGCTAAACCTTTACAGCAGTGTTTTCACTCCTCATTGTAATTATACAAGAACCTGAGATATCCAGTCCTGAATAAACATTCATTCCTTTCAGTCCTACCTTTTTTATATGGCGATTTGTTATAAAAAGAGATTGAAAGCAGTTTCACTAATGGTCATTTTTATAAATAAGAGTTTGGGGATAAAAAGAGCTCTGAAAGGGGTAGGAATTTAATAAAACTCAAAATATAACTTTGTGTAATGAAAATATTCTTGTCACATCAAGACACATTCCAGTTGGTTATTTCTTTGGATGATAAAATATGCTCTAGGGAAGTAAATATTTACATTTTAAACACTATTAAATATTTAATACACCACATTTATATTTTATGTGTGTAATAAGTTGCTTTTTTCTTTTGCAAGCTATTAGTGTCAATCAGACTACATTTTGTACTGCTGCGTTTTCACATGCGTGTTTATCTCTTGAACTGCAGTGTGGTAGGGGAGATTAAAAAAGCTTTCAGGGCTCTTACTGAAATATGATTTGCTTCAATGACAATTGCCTACTTGATAACGTTATAAAAGTACATAATATAATTGGTTATAAAGCAGTTTAACACCATTACAAGAAAGGATCGAGTGTTTTAATATTTTGTCTGAGGATGATTTGAGGAAGTCTAGTCTCATAGACTGTTCAGATGCTCACTTTCCATGTAGATGTGTGTATTTGCATGTATATCACAACATGCTAACATTTTCGGAGAGAATTTAAAAGTGAGCGACTTATCTTTTATCGTGAGCATGGTGAATAAACAGTTTGCACTTTGCAACCTCTCCGATATTCTGTTTAAGTGCATGAGAGACATTTTTTGCTCTGTGTCTTTTAGAGCTGCATTTCTGAACTAGATACTTTAGTGTTGTATACTAGGTGTAGATGTTTTGCATCTTGGTAATTGACTAAAAATATTGTAAGCATCTACTCTTAAAAGGTAAACGCTGCTTTAAGATGTGATAATGTTCAGCAGATTCTGCATCTGTTATTTCCCTTCATTTCTATATTTTTATACCATATGGATGCACCTTAGTTTAAGCTGTTTTTTTTTTCCCAATACATCTACTGGGCTCTTAAAATCAGTTTTCTTATTTGTATTGGCTAATTAAACATTTCAAAGCAGGTCAAGTTCTAACTCCATATGTTTCCTCTTTCCGTTTCTGTTTTTGTTTAAAAGAGTTCAAGTCGTACTGTAAGATGCTAATGCTGTTTTAGAAATGTTGCTGATGGCAGAAGTGAATACTGTTTATATCCCGTTTTAAAACCATTTTCGAAATGCACCTGCTCGATTTTACGTTTTTTTTTTCTCCAGAAGTGCTTGTTTTTTAATTAAAATGGGAAATTTACAGGCTGTGTCATAGTGCTATTCATTGAACATGATGATAATGCAGCTCCTTGTTGTAAATATTTTATGATTCGTGTAAAATGTATCTTAGTCTTGGTTGCTTGCCTTAGGTTGGTACTGTGTAATGGCTCGCCAGTCTTGCCATTTCCTGCCTATCAGCCTTATCTTTGAGGGTCACTTGAACTTTTTAGCATGATCAGCAGCTGGAGACTTGTCTAGTAAGAAGAGAACAGTGAGTCTTTCGAAAGGATCAGTTACTCACAGTTAGAAAACATCATGCTTTGCTTTATTGTACCACAGAGGCACTGCTACCTAATTGGACTGTTCTCCTGATTTTCAGCATTCTTTTTTTAACCAATTTTTGCCTTTTTTTAAAACTTTCTTTTAGGCCCAACTTTCCAAGGCACAGGAAGAAGCTGGTGCTTACAAACTCCAGGCTCAAGTAGTAAGTACCAAAACCCCCTCACTCACGTCTGGGTATAAGAACTGCGTTTTGGATCAGTTATTTCTTTTTGAAGATTTAATTTAATTTAAAATGAGCATTTTTTCATTCTTAACTTTAAAGCAAATATTTTTTTTTACTTAACTTTAAAGCAAAAGCCAAATGGATTGAACAGTGGCTAATTACTTGTACATAACACTTCCGAGATGTGTCCTTTTGTGCGCATTTTGTTTTAAAACGTACTTTTCTAAACTCCTTTTGTTTAGGAGTAATTAACACACATGCCACAGTCGCATTAGTGCTTGATGTTTTTTGTGTAGCCCAATCATCAAAAAGTGCTTGCAGTGTGCCTTTTTAATCATTTTCAAAAAATGCTGAGACCTTAAAATAAGCAGACGAGTATTTGCAAAGTACAGTATTTACAACTATTTGCTTATAGCTTTCTAAAAAGAGTCTTTTAGATTCTATAGTGTTGTTAGGCTTGATTTTCAGCAAAATTAGATTTCTTTGCAAAAAATGACTTCAAAAATAGCAAAGCAGCTGAACCCTTGCAGGTTCAGGGGTATTGTGTAGTGGTTTCTGTTTTAATTTACCTTTTCAGTCAGTTTTTGTGGTCTTGTTTTAGAACAAACAAAAAAACAGCATTGGTATTTATCAACAGTTTAGCCCTGTCCTTGGAGTAAACTGCATTATTACCATTTTGTTTTGTTGAAAGATTTAGTAAAGCAGACATCTAGTGAACTCACATACAACAGCGCTGCTGTTGTGACCCAAGTTTAATTAAATTGCTGAGAAAACTGTATATATTTTAAGAAACAATGTAAATTAAGTAACACAATATTTATCATAATGTGGATTCTTGGTTGACAGTGATTAGTGGAATCATTATATTGTTCTGTGTTTTTTTCAGTTTTTCTCCTTTTCCACTATAATTGTTGTCTTTGATTCCTTTTCTGTTTATAAGTTGCTGTACGTGCGTTTATGAATCTTTTCTTTCCCTGTATTTTTCAATCGTGGGAAATATTTTGTTACAAGAGACAAGTACTTGGACTGGGAACAGACAAATGCTTTTGTAAAGAAGACTGCCAAGAGAGAATGTTAGAATTGCATTTTTGTGGTTGAGTTTTGATTGTTACCACCTGTACAGATAATATGTCCCTTCAAACTGACATTACAGAAAACTGATGTTCTTGTGTCTTATTTCAGCAACTTATTTGTTCAGCTATTCTCACTTTTAGAAGCACAGCAGTGCGGAATATTCTGTACTTACAGAAGACATTGTGACGCATGTTTTAGAAGACTTCCAATGATATTAAGAAAGCCCAGCTTTATATTTTTTTGTATTATAAATATCTTTGGCATATGTTGGTGGCTTTTTAATGTTACCAGAAAAGAATATGAAACACGTTTTTTTTTGTTTTCAATCAGCTACCATTTCAGTTCTAATGAAGTAATTGCTTTTAAAATGCGGAACCTCTCAGACACTTGTTGTCTCGTTTGTGACTTGGATAACTGAAGCAAATGGCGGGGGGGGAATCCACAATCTGAACTGTGCAGAAGATTTTGAAACAAAGTATCTTGTACTTGTTTTATTATAGATTGGAAAATGTCACTGTACTATGATCTATTACTTTGGCCATACTTCAGTCTGACTTGACAATGTCATAAGTACGACGTTGTTACTAAAAGTATAAAGAAGTAAGTTGCTGTTAGTCTTAGTTTTTACTTTAATACATGCTTTATTGAACATGTTTATGAATTTTAATTTCATTCTAAAGTTTCTTTTCTCGTTTTATTACTCCATTTAAAACTTTTCACCAGGGAAAAATGATCTGTGAAATGCCACATTTTATGACTTATAAAGCCTTGAGAATGTACAGAACGTTTTCATGACACTATAGTAGTATGTTTTATACAAATATGTAGCATTTGTGTGTGTTTTATTGAGCACTGAAATAGCAGCTTCAATATTTCTAAACTCTGTTCCTAGTTTTCTAAAAGTCTCCTGGCTAAATAAACTCATAAGATTTTTTTTCAGTATTTTATATTAATAGCTCTGCTGTTTCTTTTGCTGTGTTAATTACTTTTCTGTGTAAGGCAAACAGCTGCAGGAACCCAATCTTTAGAGCTCACTAGTTACTGCCAATAAAAATCACATTTACAGGGAAATAAGGAAAGGTTTTATCGATTCCTGAGCTTTAAACCCTAATGTATTGCTTTCATGTTTGAATGTTTGAGATTCTTGGATTGTTTATTCTGGTCTTTGATGTGGTATTTATTTGAAAGTATAGATCACAAGTACTGTACAGTATCTGCTCTGTCTGGCTGCTTATAATATTTGCTCAATGTGGTTATATTGATTAACTTTATCTAAATGTATCAACAGTTCATATAAAAAATAATACATCTTGAGAATAAAAACAATTTTTAAACCTGAATATCTCTTAGCTTTGGACGAATAAAACAAAATACATATTGAACAAAACAATCATTTAAATCTATATGATATGTAGATTTTTTAGCATTGATTTGTGATCTCCTAACAAGTCGTTTGACACTGGGATACAATACATCAAGCATCAAGACAGACTCAACAGAATAAATCCTGTAGTTGTACGGCCTTAAGCTGTTGCTCGGATTTGCATTTTCCCCTGAATTTGAATAATTAAGGATGAAGGAAATTAGAATTCAACACTGTATAGCATGATATCCATGCGTCCATTAGTTATTTTAAACATTCACGATTAGTTGGCCACTATTTCTGCCATCTGGCAGACTGAATGGACCTAAGAGACTTCGTAGAGGAGTATATGAATACAGATAACCACTTAAACAACAAAACCTTATTTTATCTGGCTTTCATCCCTTTCTTTACCTAGCCAAACATTTTTAAATATTAGATGAGGGATAATATTTGTAAAATCAGCGAGAACAAGTAGATTCACCTTTTTGACCTTTTTTTAAATGATTAGAAAGTTATTTCTTTTGGATCTTCTCATTGACATTCTGTGATTGAATGCAGTTAATTCAGTCACTGATTCAATCTGTTTAGTCACAGATTTGATCTACTAGACTTTTCCTGTAAGAGGCCAGTTGTCATCTTATTATTATTGTGTATAAGTTCTTAAAAATATCTCAGTGACAAAATGCAACAATACAGAGTGCTACAGACTTACAGAATTTTTATGCTCCTGTTTTTTAATTGAGCTTAATGCAATTATCTTCCGTTTTTAAGGCTAGAGAGTAGCTGAAGCTTCTTAATTGTCTTCAACAGGAGTTAAAACTCATTAGGTAATTGCTGGAGAAGAGACAACTACAGTTTGACTCTTCTGTATTAATTAGTGCAATTAGTCCTGTTCAGTGTGTCTCTCAGCTGTGGCCCTCAATCACTTCCCAAATGTAATTAATATCTCACCAATGTGAGTCAACTAAAAAAGTAAACTTTTTACCTCATTAACAGACTTCTTCATAATTATAATTAGAGAAAAGTAGAAAAGGTTTTGAGTGCTACCATAAAGAAGCATTTAGTATATGAATCCCAATGGGAAGTATGCTCTACATGAGATGTGTGCTGTACACTGTATGCTTAAAACTATTCCAGGGTTATCTACATCTGTAATATACATTGCGTGGGTCAAACTTTTAAATGTTTTAAATAGCAGTATGTTTTTTTCCTGCCACCCAGCCTCATTTCTGTACTTTTTTTAGCGACCCTCTGTTCATGTGAATGTGTTCTAGAGGATTACAGCTCCTCAAGGAGAGAGCAGGTGGGCACAGGACAAAAACACATTATTGTTACTGCAGGGGACATGTTTTTCTTTGTATAAAAATACATTAAAAAGAAACAGAACTCAAAATGCTTCATCTTGAACCAAGGTTAGTGTGTTTTGACAGCAGAACAAACTGTTAAATAGCATACCGTTTATTATGTGTCAAAAGGATCGTACCACTAATGAACAAGAAATGCTACAACTGGCGTGATTATGATCATGATCTACCTGCGGAGATCACACGTTACATGCAACAAATCCAGAGACATTATCAAACTAACAAAATGAAGGGTGGTAATCTGGTCAATATCCCCGGCCCTGCCAAAGGCTAGTACTGTCCAGTGAGTGGTAAGAAAGAAGCCATTGCTGAACAAGACTCAGCAGAACTCTCACATGGCATTAGAGACAAAGGATACACTGTCAATAAATGGCTCTCATCAGCAGGGGAACAGTACAGAGGGGAAATGGCTGTTGCAAAGTACAGTATGTGTGAATCCTAGTGGGAAAACCTGTTAGAATCAGTGAATAATCCAGGTTAAAATTTCACTGGATTAAAAAAATGTACTCTGCAGTACAGGCAGTGACTGAGCACAAGGCCCAAACCACAGTGATGCGGTTTGACCAGGACAGAGTCAATGTCCTTGAATGGCTCAGAAATAAAATGTTGATTAACATCCAATAGAGGTTCTCTCCTACACATCACAAGGGACAAAGTTCCACTCAGAACGCTGGGCTTTATTTAGCAAACTAACTGGTCCCCATGACTTGCTGGGGAACTTACATGCAGAATTCTCAATGAGCATCACTTCCCTCATTCATGCTGTCCTGTTGGCACTGTCAGATTTTCTGTGTAAAAAATGATGTGGGTTTTGACACTCATCACTCTTGGGTTGCAGCAGCAACACCAAGTTTTTTCTCAGTACTATGTTTGTTAAAATATAGCTCTTTATTTCATTATTTTTCATAGCTCATGCTTTGAAATGTCTTAAGGCATAGCGTCTGCAGGCACTTGAATCAACACTTTGGAGAAAATTAACTCTTAAAGACTGTCACAGCATGATTTCGAGCCCATTCATATAACATTAAATAAAATACATGGATTGTTATTACTAAACTTTTGTGGTAATTCAGTTTTTTTTTGCATTTTTTTAGATGATATCTGTAAATAAGACATTTTAAATCTTGAATGTGGGTTAAATCATATCACCTCCTTATTATGATCTAAACTCTTAA